AGAATAGAACAGTGCGGAAACAAAATACAGCCCGACATCGGGGTGTCACCAGTCATGAGCATCTACAACTCGTCTAGGAATATGAAAAGACAACATAGTATGAAACAAAGCTAATGCAAAGCGGAATAAAGATAGGAAGGAGAAGCATTGGGCTGCGAATGCCAAGCATCTACCTAGTCAACTTCGAAAGCCTGCTGGAAGGCAAATCAGCACTCGCTAGCGTGACCCGAGACTCCTGGATCTGCACACAGTGTGCAGGGAGTAATATATGTACGCCAACTCAGTAAGTAATAAATGTAAAGGCAGCTGAGCAATAAGAAAACACGGAAGCCACGTCAAAATGCTACAGCAAAATAGTATAAATCCAAAACAAATCAGTGAAAACAATGAACTCGTAAAAACGACTCAGTTTAATAAAATCCTTTTCAAAACATCTTTCAATTGTTTCAAATGAGTGACAAAAAACAGTGAGTAAAAGAATAGAAACGTAAACAGCCCCTCGGGCAACAACATAAATCAACAACCGCCCCTCGAGCAAAATATCAACAGAACCAGCCCCTCGGACTACCTCACAATCACTCGTATCGGCCCCTCGGGAAAAAACATGAAACAACAACAGCCCCTCGGGCAATATCACATCTCACACCGGGTACCCGCACTCACTAGGGGTGTACAGACTCCTGGAGGGGCTCCTACAGCCCATGCGCTATAACAAGCCATCTCGTTGCATAATCAAACAGGCCCTCGGCCTCATAACAATCACAAGCCACCTCGTGGCATAATAAATCAGGCCCTCGGTTCCTTATATATCACAAATAAGTACCACATGTTGCGGCGCGCAGCGCGACCCCATAACATCCTCACAATACAGGCCCTCGGCCTCACTCAGTCAAAACTCACTCAAGCCCCTAAGGCTGACAGTAAAACAAGTACTCGGCTAAAAATATCATTTATGAAATCAAAAGGAGTGAATAAAATCGAGTTATGAAAACAGTAAGAACACAGCACGACTGAATGTAAATATCAAACTGAAAACAGTGAGGAAATCAGTAGTAAAAGCCCCTAAGGGTCCAAACAATCGGCACAAGGCCTAGACACGGCATTTAGCCGAAAACACGATAATACTTTTCAAAATATAACAATACCAAATAGTTTCCAAGTAAATACGCGACTTAATAGTCGTACAGGATAGACCAAGTCACAATCCCCAACGGTGCACGACGCCACGCTTGCCACCTAGCGTGTGCGTCACCTCAAAATAGCACAATGATGTGAAATCTAGGGTTTCATACCCTCGGGACAGCATTTACAATCATTACTTACCTCAATCCGGTCCAAACTCTAGCCCGTGATGCCTTTGCCTCTCATATCGGCCTCAACTCGTGTCGAATCTACCCAAAATCAGAATTATAACATTAGAATATGCTAAGGGGACGAAGCCCATGCGAAAATAATCAAATTGCATCAAGAAACCCGAAATTGGTCAAACCCGACCCCAGGGCCCACGACTCGGAATCCGACAAAATTAACATCAATGGAATCCTTATCCTCCCACGAGTTCATACATACCAAATATACCAAAATCCAACCACAAATGACCCCTCAAATCCCTAAATTTAGGTCTCCAATTCCCAAGCCCTAAACTCCCAATTTTGCTACTGATTTTTCATAGATTTCAAGCTTATAGTGTTAAAAATCATCATAGAAACAAGTTTAGGGTCCAAAAACCTTACCTCCACGAAACCCTCTCGAATTCCCTCTTCAATTTGCTCTCCAAAGCAGTCTCCCGAATAAAATATGGTAAAAAACCACTCAAAATCGCGAAGGGCCAAATATATATGTTCTGCCCCAGCAAAACCGCTTCTGCAGTACAAAATCTCACACCTGCGGTCCCAGGTGTGCATCTGCAGAAACCACTTAACCGCACTAGGACCGCACCTGCGATCATAATACCGCACCTGCGCTATCGCAGGTACGCTCGAACAACTGCATCTGCGGTTCCAACTCCCCATGCCCATTTCCGCATCTGCGACCCTCTGGGCGCTTCTACGAGCCCGCATCTGCCAAGCCGCAGGTACGGTTATGACAGGAGTTTCAGCACTTCAGCTACAAATTCCAACTCCAAACCTCCCGTCAACCATCCGAAATCACCCCGAGGCCCCCGGGACCTCAACCAAAAGTTAGGACAAGTCATATACCACCATCCAAACTTATACCAATCTTCGAAACACCTAAAACAACATCGGAACATCAAATTAACTACGGATTCAAGCCTAAGAACTCCAAAAACTTCTGAATTCCGCTTTTGATCAAAAAGTCTATCCGACCTCGTCCGAATGACCTGAAATTTTGCACACGCATCACATATGACACAACGGACCTACTGCAACTTCCGGAATTCCTTTCCGACCTCTAAATTAAAATCTCCACTACTAACCGAGAAACGCCAAAATTCTAATTTTGCCAATTCAAGCCTAAATCTACTCCGGACCTCCAAAACTCATTCCGATCATGCTCCTAAGTCCCAAATCACCTCCCGAAGCTATCTGAATCATAAAAATAAAATTCTGAGATTGATTGCTCACAAGTCAACTCCCGGTTGACTTTTCCACCTAAAAGACCAACTTAAGAGACTAAGTGTCTCAAACCCTTTCCAAATCATTCCGGATTCGAACCAACTAACCCGATATCATATAACATAGATGAACAAAGCATAACGACTCAGAAATGGGGGAAACGGAGCGGTAACTCATAAAACGACTGACCGGGTCGTTACAATTGGGTATCTTCACCGGTTAAAAATTAATAGTTTCAAGGACAGAAGAAATGTTAAACAAAAGGAAATTACAATTGCACGCAGAAGAGGAACCCAAAAGAAGGGAATATATGAAATTCAGGAAGGATGCATTTACAAAGAAGAAGAGCAGACTATGAAACGTTTTTTAGTCGTGGTAACGTCTAAAGTAAATTTTCTAATATGATTTAAAATAGTTGAAGAAATAACAATTCTTTACTATAATGCACAATAACTAAGAAGTAATTTCTTCTTGTAAAGACTTTAATTTGGGAAGTGGAAAAGAAATGAATTATATATACTTTTTGACATTTTATAATTAGGAAAAAAACAAAAAAGGAGAAAAAAGATAAATTGGATCTTTTCCCAAATAGAGGTTTCAAATTAGAGAAAATGCATAAATACCCATTCAACTTGTCCTGGAAAGTCATTTACACACCTAAACTTTACGGGCGTCCTAACACCCCACTATTTCTTAAAGAACTGTATTTATTTACTCCCTCCTTATGCCTGGCCAGCCGCGCGTGTTTGACAACTGAATTGAGCGCGTCCTAACTCTATTAATCGTTGAAAACACCCCAAAAAAAAAAAAATAAATAAATCTTTAACGTTAATATAACCTCAACCAACGGTAAAATCCCCTCTTCCCCAATATTTTACCAAACCCAATTGAAGAACCCTAATTTCTTCTTCTTCTTCTTCTAATTTCTGCCGAGAATCTCTCAAATTGCCCTTTTGAAGTTTTAATCTTTGAAGGCAAAGGTTAACCTTTCTCCTTCTTAAGAACCCTAATTTCTTTTCTTTTAATATTGTTATGCCTTTGCCCTATATTCCAATTATCCGATTTTATGAAAGCTAATGCAATTTATCTGACTTTGATATTGTCTTGTTGTGTTGTAGTTGTTGCAATGCCTTCAAAAGGCTTGAATTTGACAAGGCTTTGCACGGAAGAGGAAGAAAATGAGTCAAGTGGAGAAATTCGATGCAACCATGGCTATGTGCTGCCTTTGTTAACAGCTTGAACCCCTCGGAACCCAGGAAGAAGATATTGGGTTTGTCCATACTATGGGGTAAATGATAGTAAAAATTCTTTCATTAATTGAGTTGTGAAAAATTATTATTCATTAATTTCCTTTTATTATTCATCTTAGGGTCCACGATCTTGTGATTTTTGGGTTTGGAAGGATTCCGAAATTGATCCTAGGTCCAAATTTGTTATTCCAAAATTGCTGGACAAAATGGGTGAACTTGAGAATGCATTAGAAGGCTTTGAAAATCTTGCCAAGCCGAGGACAACTTTAAAGGTTGAAAACACCATAGAAGAGGACAAGATGAAGAAGATTGAGGCTCAATTGGTAAAATTGCAAGATGATATGGAGAAGATGAAAGAGAAGGAAAAGAAGTGGAAGAGTAAATTAGCTAAGTCAAAGGCTAGGGAAAATGTACTTTGGTTCATTATATTGGGGATGTATATTATTTTTGTTGCTTGTGGGTATCCCGGAATCTCATTGAAAGAAGATGCAATGAGGTTGCCATTGTGAATCTAGTTTTGTCATCTCAATATGAATGTAGTTGTTGGTTGTAGGATTTATTTTGTATGTTTACAATAGAACTTATGTAAGCCTTTTGTTGTTTTGCCATCTCAATATTTTGTAGTATTCTCATCTCAATATGTAATTGTAGTTGTTGGTTGTAGGATTTATTTTGTATGTTTACAATGGAACTTATGTAAGCCTTTTGTTGTTTTGCCATCTCAATATTTTGTAGTATTCTCATCTCAATATGTAATTGTAGTTCTTGTGTATCAATTATTGTTTCAATACACCTTACCAAATGACTCCAAAGTCTGTACTTATCAAAGGTTTAGAATAGAGATGTATAAAAACTTGTGAAGGAAGAACTTTTTCTTTTCACAACTGAAGGAACACATTTCATGGCAAACACACATACTATCAACCTGTACAACTAATAGATCACTAAAACATCATATATGCATTTCGTGCATAAAAGCCACAAAATGAGTTAACAATACAGCTGTTTGTTGTCATTGTAGCAGCAGCAAAACATACACCAAATGTAACAAAATAGCAGTCTATAGCTACCAACAAATCCTTATCAAAATACAGAATTGCAGTCTATAGCTACTTCAAATTGCAGTCTAGTTCAGTCTATTGCAATACAGTCATCAAACAAAAGCAAAGCTTCATCAGCTGGGTTGATTTGCAATGGTGCTTTCCTGGGTCAACTTAGCAGCCCTAGACCTTGTTTGAATGAGCTTCTTGCCTCTCAATTGTTGAAGCTGCCTTGATGTCATAACTTCTTTACCTTTCCATTTAACATCTCGTGTTGGTTGATGGCCTAGATTTCCAGCTACTTCTGCCGAGGACCTCACATTCTTAAAGTTTGTAGATGACATTCCAGGCTACCAAAATCCGACAGAAAATCAGACAAATGAAATCACCTATATATGAGAGTTTGTGTTAGACTTACATTTTGAATCTTGAAACCACTTTGAGTGTGTAAAACTCCCATCCCAACCATCCTTGGTTTCTTAAATTGTGTTCTTACATCAGTGCTAGTACCAACATCCTACATCAAATAATCAAAATTAAAAATCTAGGAATTTTTTAAAAAAGAGAAAGAAGACATTAAAGGGAAGAACTTCACCTTTTCTTTAGAACCTTTTGGCCTACCCCTTCCTCTTGCAGTACTTTGCTTTGGTGGCTTTGAACTACCAACACTTGTAGGTACAGAATTTGCTGAAGTTGCAGCAGTATTACCTCCAGCAGCCTTTGCACATCCCCTCTTGTTATGACCCTTGTTATGACAACTGCTACATGTCATTTCCACTCCACTTTTGGACAATTTTCCTGTCTTATTTTCACCAGGCTCTTTTCTTCTAACCTTCTTTGGCCTTCCAGGCATCTTCTTGACATGAGGTGGTATAACAGTTGGGTTTTGTGACTCTGGCCACATATTCATACCCAATACAGGCTGTAGAAAGTAACTGTATGCTTTCATGTAAGTTGCATTACTGTACTAATGAGAAATATAGTTCATAGGCTCAAGATTTTTAAAATGCAGGGCAACAACTGCATGAGCACATGGTATGCCTTTTAACATCCAAGCTCTGCAGGTGCATGTTTGCCTGTTGATGTCCACCAAATGCTTCACTTCACTTGCACCTGATCCTTGCTTCACTTCAAATCCATACTCACTATTCCAGAAAATGTTACATTTCATTGACATTTCTGTGTTCTCTTCCAAGACTTTCATGGCCATTGGTGAAAAATCAGTAATCCAAGTGTTTCAAAACTGTCTGAGCTGACCTATTCTGTTCATCATCTTCACCCTTATTTCTTCAAGCATTGTCACTATAGTCTTCTGCCTTGCTGCCAAAATCCAAGCATTGAAACATTCTGTCATATTATTGTCAACACTATCACACTTGCAGAATGTGTTGAAATACACCTTACTCCATCTTTCAATGTTGTAGTACAACAGTTCATCAACTATCTTAGACCCCAATTTCTTCATGTCATCCAGATTTTTCTTCAACTCCCATTCATAGGTAGACCTTGCACACCTCCAGAAGCAGTTCCTTCTCTCTATACCCCTCCATTTCTTAGACCAGTTAGCTAGGATGTGCCTTCCACACATCCTATGCTCAGAATTTGGAAGTAGGTCTGCTATAGCATTCTCAAGCCCCTAGAAAATTAACAATGGTAGTTAGTATTAAGTGAAACAGCAGTAGAAAAATAACAACAGCAGTGTCTAAGAAAAACAGCACTAGAAGTGATTACCTTTTGCATGTCTGTTATTACTGTCAGATTGGTACCATCTCCAAGCTGAAGATCACTCTTTAAAAGGCTGACAAACCACCTTCAAGTGTGCATATTTTCAATCTCAACAACAGCCCAAGCAAGTGGAAGCATCTGATTATTTCTATCTTTGCAAACTGCTACAAGTAGTTGGCCTCTACATACCCCTTTTAAAAAACATCCATCTAATCCAATGCATGGCCTACAACCAGCTAAGTATGACTTCTTCATTGCCTCAAAACAAATGTAGAACCCAACAAACATTTTCTTCCCACCTTCAAAAGTTTCTTCACTAAGTTTCACTACATATGTACTACCTGGATTAGATCTAAGCAACTCATCCCTATAATCTAAAATCCTACCATACTCTAGTTTATGATCACCCATTATCTCATTCAACACAATATTTTTTGCCCTCCTACAAACTGTCCTCCCAACATATAATCCCAATTTCTTTCTAATCAACTCTTGAAACTTGAATATTCTAATGTTAGGTTGTTCTTTTATCCTCTCATTGAACCTTTTAGCCAAGAACTTTGAATTACATAGCTTGTTTCTGTTAGTAGGGTCACATTTGTGAACTGGATTGTAGTTCTTGACTACAAAATCCTTAGTCCTAGAATCATAACTAGCAACTAGAAGCCAAGGACATGATGCCTTCTTGCACTTAACCCTCACCCTTGTAGGTTCATTTACATACTTTTTTATAGAAACCTTTTGTTGAACAGCATATTTAGTTACAACTTCTCTAAAATCTTTCACACTTGCAAATGCAAGTCCAGTTTCCCAAACTATTTTCTTGCAAGTCTTGTCAAATATTACTCTTCTTTTAGTTTTTCTTCTTCTAGCTTTAACTTTCTGTTGAACCTCCACTTCACCTTCATCATCAACATCATCTGGATCTGTCTCAAAACTAGCAGCTTCATCTGAGAGGTAATAAGGCTCATCACCACCTATCTTACCTTCTAAACTCTTCTTCTTCCTAGATTCATATTCATCATACCCCACATCTGGCCCATAAGGTCCCTATCAACCTTAATTACTACCAAAGCACGACAATTAGGTGGTCTAACATAAATAACAGCAGAAGAACTATTGTAACCAAACTCTTTTACATAACCTAAAAACTCAAAATATGAGAACCTATCAACATCGACATCAACACAATCAGTAATCATCCCACCAACATAATCCTCCACTGAAAATGAATGTAACTTATCCGTGGAGATTTTTCCACCATGGAAAAACCTTAGTGTAACAAGTACAAAAGACATTGAAATACCTGAATATAGTAGAAAATCAACTAATTAAATTGTGTAATTACTATTAGACCCCTACACAAGAAGTCAGAATACATGCAACAAGAATAAAACTGAAAATTGATTATTATTACACCTTAAAAATTGTATTTCAGTTCCTCGATTTTACATTGACAACATTATAGTGAAGAAATTTGCAGCAAGTTCAGAACCCTAGATATGGATGATATTAAACAAACTAAAAAAGAGATAACATTTAGGGTTGATGATAGAAAAGGCTAGGGTTGATGTGTTTACCTCCAAACTAAAACAAATATACCGTTTGCACTTGATTCTTCAGAGACCTTCAACTTCGAACGGGTCTTCAACCAAATCGTCAAATGAAACAATTAAGAACTAACGGAAAGTACCAAGAAGAACGAAATCAAAGGATTTTGCAACAGATCCCTTCGATTTTGTTCAGGCAAATTGATTTTGGAGAGGCTAATCGAATCTTTGAGGGTGGGTAGGGTTCTTCAATTTTGGGAATTTTTCACTGAGGGGGGTTAATGGGTTAATGAGTTTTGTTTGTAAAATGTTACGTTTATGTTTATTTACGGAAGGATTTAATTACGTGGCTTCATTTTAAAAGCGCGTGTTTTCCACTTACGTTATTATAATTGGGCCAGGCATAAGGAGGGAGTAAATAAATACAGTTCTTTAAAAAATAGTGGGGTGTTAGGATGCCCGTAAAGTTTAGGTGTGTAAATGACTTTCCAGGACAAGTTGAATGGGGTATTTATGCATTTTCTCTTTCAAATTACCTTGTCTATTCCAACAATTATATTTATATATAGATATATAGATATAGATTAAATATTTTTAGTTACACCTCCCACTATTTTTCTTCTTACTCCGGGGGTTACGTTTTGCATGGAAAGGGCATTTGAATATTTAAAGATCCTACTTTGGCGTCGCTGCATTTCAAGGTGTACCAATTATTTTCACTGTTCTTTTTCTTTGTTTATCTTCTTCCTTTTCATTTTTTGTTTTGATTTAATACTTTGGCATGATTCTTGCCTATGCCCATTTGACTTGGTTCATCATTATAAGAGATATTAGCAGAGTACGAGGAATTTTTTAGGTTGTAGTTCTATCGAATTTAGAGCTATGTTGTTGGACAAGATATTGTATTTATATAATATTCTCATGGTGAGTTTGAATTATAATATTTTCTATTGAAGTGAATAGAAATTGCGGCAGAAGAGAATTAATGTGATTATCGTTTCTCTTATTTATACTAACAATTTTAGTATTTCTTTAATTGCAGATATACCATAAAAAGTAAAGTAGGTTAAAACGGAGGACAAAAGGAAGCCCCGATCAGGATACTAAGCAAATTTCATAATTCTTTATACGGTATTGTGAAAGTTTTATTAAATTATTATTGTATGCGGCGAAATCAGAGGGTTCAATTTCTCGTCATTAAGGCATTTCGGATGATCATCTCGAAGCCTCAAAGCTACAAGGTTGTGGTCGAGTTTCCTCCTTCGGGGTTCGTCGGCGCCCGACCTAGGGGTTTGTCGACACCCGACCCAGGGGCAATGGTGACCAAGACCATGATAGGAAAGGGGAAGTTCCCAAGCTACACGGCTAGGACTGACAAAGCCTGCCGGTCTACTCTAAACCTGAGTCAGGGTGTCATATCTAGTTGTCCCATCCCCGTATCTTTGCAATTAATGTATTTTGTACTATGTTAGGATTCTCCTCCTATATAAAGGGGGTCCTTACCATTTTGTAAATTCTGTTGCTTCAGTTACTCCACACGAAATATAGAAGAACATTTTTCTTTCTCTCTAACATATTCTCTTGATATTATTGCTCTTGTTTATTACATTCATATTTGTTCTTCATTTATTGTTTATCATTGCCATAAAGATCCTTCGCTGATTATTTTGTAACTGTTAGCCCTTCCCCTATTACCCTTGATAGCTCGAGCCCGAGCCTTGAAATCGACCTCGAGGCCCCATATCGACCGGGTCGATGCCCCGATTGACTAGCCTATCGGTTTGATTATAACTCTATCTTTAGCTCTTATTTCGCTCCTAAGTATCACACATATAGCATCAACTGCTTAAGAACTGGCATAAAAATAGATCACGTATTTTTAGAGTCCCATCAACAAATTTAATTATTATTACCATTTTCACGGTAAACAGATTGGCGCCCACCGTGGGGCTAAAAATAATAGTGATTATTTTCTTGCTGGTTTTATTACATAACACAAGTTATCTTTCACGCTTTTTCTTATCCAAGATCTTCGATTTCAGGTCAAAATGTTTGGCTCGGTAAATAGAGTTGAAAACGACAATCTTGAAAACCACAGATAGAACGATGTGGCTACTCCTGATGTTGGTGTGCGGCCATGAAACCTCGAGAACGCTCTAGGACCAATTCCAGTGGACATAGGTTCACGCGACGCCCAGCAGGCCGATATTAGCTCACACACCAACAGGAGCGTGCCCCAAAGAGACCCACAAGAGGCTCAGAAAACCCAAGCCAAGGAAGAACGGGAGGTTATCCTTCATGTTATTTTTGAAGGCACAACAGCTGGCTATCACTCAGCTACAAAGTCACCGGAAAACCCCTAGCACGGTAGCGCCGGGGACCACTCCACCGGCCGAATAGGTGCCGGAAAGATCAAGCAATAACAGATCAATAGCTGATCCTGTCATAGTGAAGATGCTCGAGGACCTCACCAGAAGGATCGAACCTGGCAAAAAATGATAGATGCCAACGATAAGAAGGTCGAGACTTACAACTCCAGGGTCGACCAAATTCTAGGAGCGCCCCCGATTTTGAAGGGTGTGGACTCGAAGAAGTTCGTGCAGAAGCCGTTCCCACATGAAGCGGCCCCGAAACCCATTCCGAAGAAGTTCAGAATGCCGGAGCTTTTGAAATACAATGGTACCTCGGACCCCAATGAACACGTTACCGTGTACACCTATGCAGTAAAGGGAAACGACATAGGACGACGAGATCGAGTCCGTCCTGCTGAAAAATATTGGAGTAACACTTTCTAAAGGGGCAATGATGTGGTATCATAACTTGGCTCCAAACTCTATAGACTCATTTGCCATGTTGGCAGATTCCTTCATAAAGGCGCATGCCGGGGCCATCAAGGTGGCCACCAGGAAAAATCCAATGTCTTCAAAATCAAGCA